TGCGACCAGTCAAAGTCAACTTGACCTCTTCCGAATGATGAAAGGACTGACCACTGTTTTCAAAAATGTTGGATTAGGTGGACAACGTGAAGGTAAATTCGTGGATCTTCCTTCTTTTAAAGGCGGAGACCAAGACCCTCGTGATTGGCTGGAAAGATATAATAATGCAGGCGACGCAAATGGCATCTCGGATAGGAGACGTCTTACTCTAGTACCATCCTTTTTAAAGTCCTCAGCTCTCACCTGGTACAATAAAACCAGAAATGAAAAAGACTTACGATACTGGGATAATCAAACTGATAGACAACATAAGCATCGATCCTTTGTCTATCACTTCTTGAAACATTATTGCACCACTCATCGACGAACACAATGGCGTTCTGCACTTAGACGATGTAAACAACGTCCTGGACAATCAGTTGAAGATTATGCTGCCGATATCGAGTCGTTATACCTTAAATTGGATCCAGATTATAATACACCTGAGGATGAAAAGATTGAACAATTTCTACAAGGACTTCGACCTGAATTTCATACCGCAATAGCTGCCGCTGCACCACGCGACTTAGAGGAAGCTGTTGATCGAGCACGAGCTGTTGAAGCAGTATTATCCAAAGATAGTACCCTTTCAGGTTACTCCTTAAGCAAAGCATATCTAACGCAAAATGACGATAATACTTCCGAAACCTACAATACTACCCCGAACATGCAACAGCTCATTGATAAAAATAATGAAAAGTTACTAAAAGAGTTCAAGCAACTTCTGACCACTTCCAACACTACTCCACGACCTCAAACTACACCTCCTCACCCTGCGAATACCAATAATAACTGGAGAAATAATAATAATACCAATAGTTATAATAGCGATAATAATAATAGTAATCGTAACAACAATAATTAGACACTTCAAGTTGTTATAACTGTGGACAAACTGGACATTTTGCTAGGGACTGTACTCAACAGAGAAACTTCCAAAACAACCAAAGTAATAGGGGAAATAATCGATATTCCTCAAATAATACCTCAAACGTGAGACTTAGTTGTCATAATTGCCGACAGTCAGGACATATAGCCAGGAACTGTAATAACTTACCTAAGGGACCATGTCCTTTCTGCAGTCAGTTTGGACATTGGGGAAGAGTATGCTCAAATAGAAATAATAATACTAATAATACCAATCGGAATATATCGAATGGGTATAATAATGTTAATAATGGGCAACGCGCTGCACTCTCTCAAACCACGCCAATGTATAGTTCGACATTTGCGCTTCCCTCTCAAACGTCAATGACCTTTCCGGTACCAAATCCGCCACCAGCAAATAATAATAATACCTCCTCTTCTTCGTCGCAGTCTTTAAACTATTAACGGTACCTTTAGAGGGTGAGCGTACCAATGAATATATAAATCCCTTAGAACCACCAAAAGCAGTTGAAGCCGTTTACTGTAGTGCCACAGTGGACAATAAACCAATTTATTTAATATTAGATTCTGGATCAGCAGGAAGTGTAATGTCTAAAGCATTTTTACAACAATTAGGACGAAAAATTGAATCCGCATCTACAATAACGATGATTAATATACAAGGTGGACGATCTCGACCCTTAGGACGAGTTACGAATATTCCCTTACAATTAAATGGAATAGAAATTCCAATCAATGTGGATATTACTGAGTCAACCGATTATTACATTGTAGCAGGAAATGACTGGCTTTCGAAATGCCGAGGACGACTTTATTGGGACTGTCGGAAATTTACATTTTATTGGAACAATAAAGAACATCAAGTACCAATGACTTGTTGGGAAAAACCACAATTCGACCATTTCCAACAACCAGTAGTTATCACCAATAAATTAGTCGATAATAATGAAGAATATGAGGACGAAGAACTAATAGCCCAACGACATTATGTAGTATTTGGAGACCAAGATGATTTAGCTCCTTTAGCTGAAAGTAATCCCAAACAAATTTCTGTGGAAGGACAAAAGTATTCACCCCAATACTTTGAAAGTCTAAAGCAAAAATTTGGAGTTCAACCACCTGAAAATGCTAAGTGGAAATTTAATTGGCAAGGACCGGGAAATCGATGTTGGTGTCGTAACAAATTAGATAAAAGTGATGATATTTGCCAACTTTGTAAAAAGGAATGGGATCACTGGCAATTATTGCAAAACA